TTGCTCTCGAAGGCGCCCGAGGCCAAGGCTGGACGTGGGCGCAGCGGTCTCCCTGGATAGAGCAGCGGGGTGCTCAGAGATGGGGGGGTTTCTAGCTGTGGGAGTGTCGGAGGGGGCTGCCCCATCACCCCTCTGCCTCTCCCTTGCAGGATGGACCTCCCTGACCCCGCAGGTCCCGCCGACCTCCCCAAGCACATCCTGGACATCTGGGTCATCGTCTTGATCATCCTGGCCACCATCCTCATCATGACGGCCCTGGTGCTCTGCCCAGCCACTGCCGTCATCATCTACCGGGTACGGACTCACCCCACGCGCAATGGCATCGTGTGAGGCAGAGGCGACAAGGGACGGCCAGCTCGCCGGGCAGGGGGCCACAGCCGTGGGACCCTGTGCCGGGGACCCCGCAGAGCCTGATGGGGCACCCTGAGAGGTGGGGAGAGACGGGCAGGAGCCAGGGTGGATCAGCACCCGGACGCCTGTCCCTGTACCTGGCTCTCGCTGGGTGAACCCACTGCCTCCTATTTACTCACCGAGCTCACGGGGACCGTCGGGGAGATGGCAGCCTGGGCACCAGCGGGAAGATGTCTGACTTTGCGGATGTGTCCAGCTAGAAACGACTCCCTCCCGTGAGGCAGGCAGGCTGGTCTCGCCTTCGCTGGCGACCCCGTCTCCTCCCAGGCAAGCGGCAAGGAGTGGAAGTGCCCAGCAAAGTTATTTCTTCTTTGGAGTCCCAGCTGTCGGGGTGGTTGGGAAAGAAGGGTCAAAGCAAGCTGGATGTGGCTTCTGGTTGTGCATTCAGAGACTCGGCTAAAAGCATCGGTGACAGAGCCCGTCCTGGCTGCACAGCAGATGTGCAGCTGCACTGGCTTCTCCTCTACCAGATATCTGCTGAAATTGTAGGAAAACCCTATGGGACGGCCAGTTCCTCTGGGTTTCATGGGGCAGAGGAGCGCAGGCAGCTCCTGCCAGCCTGCCTGCCCGCACATCGGCTGCGCCGGGTCCCCCTGCCGATGGCGAGGGCCCTCACTGCTCACCCGGCATGCCGGCCCCGTTGGGGGGGTCTGTGCGCCCCTCGCCTGGGCAGGCAAAGCGGGAAGAGCAGAGGGGTTCGTGCCCAGGCAGTGGCAAGGGACCATGTAAGCTCTTACATTGCCCC